CCTGCTACCATAAACAGTGCTGCTTTCCCAGTTGGCTCAGTGGAAAAGAATCCGCCTACCAATGCAGGAGATGCGAGTTTGATCCTTGGGTCGGGAAGATCCCCTGGAGAAGGAAATGGCAACCCACTCTAGTATTCTTGCCTGGGAAAGCCCATGGACAGAAGAGCCTGGCAGGCTACAGTCCATGAGGTTACAAAAGAGTCAGACACAACTTAGTGAGTAAACAACAACAAATAAAAAGTGCTGAGAACCCAGAGGTGTATCAGATACCCTGGGAGGAGCTCATATTGTGATTGGCGCCCCCAGAATTGCAGCAGAAAGAGGTAGCCCCCACTCAGCTGGGAATTTAATAATGGGACTGTTCACTAAAGGGTGGATGAAGCGAAGAGAGCCTGTAAGGGCTGTGGAGGTATAGATCATCTTTGAAAGGAATGAGCCAAATCAAAATGGCTCTATATAGGTTAAGAGGGTAAGTGGAATACAGATAAGTCCCACCAACTTGTCTTGAAGCTTAAAGGGACTGAGATTTACCAGTTAGTTTGCTTAGCATCATCAGCTGGAGGGCTTCCTCCCTTGTGCCAGAATGAAACCATAATCCTTCAACCTTTTCGCCATAACCTGAAGAATTCTGAGCTCCACGGCCCGTAAGTCCCTCTCACCACTGTGCTACCTGCAGCCATCACTGTGAAGGGTCTCCCACTAACCCTTCCACTGCGGTTGGGGCCATGGTATGCCTGGGAGTGGGTGTGCATCCGTGAGGGCGTGGGACTTCCCTCCAGTCTCTTTACAGGTCAGCCCTCTTCCACTACTCCTGTAGCCCAGTGGACATCCTGGCTTTAGGAAGCGAGACAATCAACACTTCTTACTTGAGGGAACTAACCAACATCCCAGTGGAAGCCACTGTCTGACCAGCTCAGGGTCACATAGTAGATGCAAGCCCAGGTTGAGTCCCTGCCCTTTGCACTTCGTCATTCTGTGACTGGCCTAGGAATGGGTCATCATTTCTGTCAGACAAAACTGTTCCCTGTGTTGGTGGCCATGACAACTTTGTTCCGGGAGATTACATTAATTCTTACTTTCTCCTGCACAGCCTCCAGAGTCTCCTCTGCTTTAGTCAATGCACTCATCTTTAACTCTGTCTTCTGTATATTTAAAATGACAGAATAATTTGCCGGCTAATTTAGGCTCCATTAGTACGCTATGGCTGCCTCTATTACAGTACTTATCACATCGTGCTATAATTTTTTGTTTACATATCTGTCTCTGCCACTTGACTGTGAGTTCCTACAGGGATTAGCCTGTGTCTTCCTCACTGTAGTATTTTACCTCCTCCCCAGAAGCCAGAAGCTGAACATTTTGAATGTAGTAGGTTTTTAATGAATGAAACAGCTTTATAGTAAGGTTCAATAGACAAGGGGCTTTCCTTGTGGCTCAGTTGGTAAAAAATCTGCCTACAGTGCGGGAGACCTGGGTTCGTTCCCTGGATTGGGATGATCCCCTGGAGAAGGGAAAGGCTACCCACTCCAGTATTCTGGCCTAGAGAATTCATTAGATAAGCACATCTGGTATGCACATATTCATTTATTCAACAGATATTTATTAAGTTCTTACTGTGTGCTTAGCACTATGCTAAGCTCTAGGAATCAAAACATACCACCTGTATGTGTTTGAGAGATAATGGAACATTAAAACAATTCCTAATTGCTATAGATTGTGTTTCTCCAAAATTCACGAGTTGAAATCTTAACCCCAAAGTGATGATATGGGGAGGTGGCACCGTATGAAGGTAATTACATCATGAGGCTGGAGCACTGGTGATAGGATTGGAGTCACTACAAATGAGGCCCCAGAGATGTGCTGGCCCCTTCTCACCTGTGGGCAATGTGACTGTCTGGGAAACAAGCTCTCATCAGACAGGATTTACTGGCATCTTGGCCTTGGACGTCCCAGCCTCCAAAACTGAGATAAATAAGTTTGTTGATAAGCCACTCCGTCTGAGGTATTTTTGTTACAACACTAAGGTACTAATCATCATGCAATTTGCAGAGATTCACAGTGTATTAAGGAAGACTGGAAGTGGCTATTCAACATGGCCTGGTTGAGGAGAGGCTCAGGTAAGGGTTCTAAGTGAAGGAAACTGCTGATCTGCATTTTAGAAAATGGTTATGGGATACCAAGTCAAAGGCATGTTGGTAGGAGGCCACCAGGGAGAAGAAACAGTAAGAGTAAGGGCACAGGACCTGATCTAGCCGGGTGTGATTGGAAACTCTGCCGATTTGGTGTTGTAGGAGGAGCATTAAGTATGAGACAAGAGTGAGGCAGGAAAGAGCATCAGAGCTAGGTGAGAGGGGCCACTTCATCAAGTTATGGGACTTGGATATTATTCTATTAATGATACTGACACAGTAAAGGGACCTGAGTTGGGGAGAGATGTTGTAAGGTTGGCGTTTTAGGTTGAATCACTCCCTGACCGTGTGAAGAACACAGTTGGGGGATGAGGCTAGAATTAGGAAAACCAGTTAGAAGAGTGTTGCTGTAGTCCTGGAAAGAGATGAAGAAGACTTGAACTAGGGTAGTTGTAGAAGAAATGGAAAGAAGAGGACTCAAGCTGGATTTGGAAGATGAGCTTGGCATCTTGAGAGAGAGGAAACGAGGAGGACTCCCAGGAAGAAAATGGGTCCATACTCATAGAGAATGAGTGAATAGTCAGGTTTGGGGCAAGGTAGTGAGTTCATTTTATACATCTTGAATTTGGGGTGCATCCAACTTATTGAAGGAATATTCAACATGTAGTCGAAGATATGTTTGAAGCTTGATGGGGATTGGCAGAGGGTTGGGACTTAGAGGTAGAAGATTTTGGTCATAAGCTAGAAGACAGTGGTAGAGACCAAGATGGTGGCAAAATCACTACAGTCAGTACATAGTGTGAGTTGGACAAAGGGCTGGACCAGCTCCCTGGGAAACGCCGGGGAGATTGAGGTCTTTGTCTCCTCTCGTTTCCCAATATTTCTTCAAATCCTTACCCATCTGCAGACCTGTGCTTGAGATTTTGTATAAAGAGATGAAAGTCCCTCAATCTATGATGATGATGAGTAGGAATCCACCCTGGGAGACAGCACAGGGACCCGCACGTGCACCAAGTTTTAAGACATATCTGATCTTTACTGAGAGAATTTTCTGATGGGAGAAGTAGAGGATTAAAGCGGGCTTAATGGGAAATAGAGAAATATTGCAAAGGAGGTCTGAGGGTGTACAGAGCAAGTATGGTTCCTCTGTGGTCAGGCGTGATGGCTCAGATGGTAAAGAATCCACCTGCCATGAGGGAGGCCTGGGTTCGATTCCTGAATTGGGAAGATTCCCCAGAGAAGGAAATGGCTGCTCATTCCAGTATTCTGGCCTGGAGAATCCCCACGGACAGAGGAGCCTGGTGGGCTACCGTTCATGGGGTCGCAGACTTGGACACGACTGAGCGCCTTTCACTTCACTCTGGTTAGGGTTCAGACTGCAGCTCAACCTGCCTCTTACTTTCTGTTGAATGCATTCAGCTTGGGCTTCACTTTCCTCATCTGAAAATGAGGATTACAATAGAACGTACTTCATAGTAGTGTTTAGAGTGTTAAATGAGTTAATGTGCACAAAGCACTTGGAACAATACCTCCCACATGGTAAGTACTGTATTAGGCGATAGTGTTATATGTGGCATTAACTTAGGCTGTGAACCTGTGTATGGGGTTTTATATCTCGCATTTCCCAGACTATCCTTTCCTTTGGGAATGGTTCCAATGCAGACCCTATGCTGTTGGCTGAGGCTTGCTCTTCCCTCACGGTTAGCGCCTGATGTTTGGGATCCAGTGATCCTCAGGAGGCATGTTTCCTTGTGTTCTGTGCTCCAGGTTCAGCCTGCTGTTCTTTCCCCTAGTACCTGTGAGCTCTGGTTAAATCCCCGAGCACCACCCACTCCAGACTCACTAACCGCAGCAGGACCATTTCCCTTAGGGATCTGCTCAGAACCCTCGGAGCCAGTTGCCCGGGGGAAGCGAGCTGGTGACGTCACAAGGTAGATGCTTCCAGACCTCTCTGAGGTCCCCTCTGTCGGGCCTGTGGCAGGGCCCTGTTCTGAAAACTTTGCCCCGTCTAAGCATATTTTGTCCACTCCAAGACAATGCAGAGACCCTCATTCCCTTCCAGCGGTGTCCAAACCTAGGTATGTGGGGGTCATGGCCATATGTCTCTTCCTGGTTCTCTGGCTACAGACCTCTTGCTCTACTTCTTCCCTCCCAGGGACTAGACACGCCTTTGCAAAATGGAGTGTGTGGGACAGCTCTCAGTAACTCTTGTTTCTCTAGGATACAGATAAAAATCTTGAGGGTGGGGGCGGTGGGGAGGCAGCTAAAACTCTGGGGCTGATCAATAGAGGATCAAAGGTTATTTCAGATTTCAGAGGGCCTCAGAGACATTCAGAGCAAGATTACAACACCCTTCCCATGTCTAGTTACTCCCCTCTGTGCTAAACGTACCCCCAATCTCTTCCACCAGGTCTGTTAACCTCATTCTTGTTCTCTCCTGATATATTATGGCAACTTCTTCATGCTGTCCCAAAGGAAAGGGTAGAAAAGAGAATATACGGCCATGAGGGTATTTCACTAGACTTGACTTACTGATGAGGTCATTTAATCTTGCTCCACCCTGGTCAAATAGTACAAAGGGCACTTCTTGCATTGCTCCCTGCCCTCTTCAAAGTCTAAATGCTGAAATTCACATGCAAAGCAGCAGATTCCCTGCTGTTTTCTAAATGAAGGCATCTGAGACTCAGCAATAATCCTGTCTCCCACATTTATCAGGACAGGAGCCTATGAGGGAAGCAAAACCCAGCTGTGTTGGAGTTGTCATTCCCAGAGGGGTGTGTTTGACTGCGCTCCGTCTCTGGCCTGCCCTAGAACTTCAGCTGTGACAAGGACTCTGGAAGGAAGCTGCTCACAGCTCTCTGCTCAGACCTAGCCATGACAAGGATGTCTACGTGTGTATACCACTTGTTTGTCTTGAGCTGGTATATCTTCCTCAACTTTTATATCTCACAAGAAGGACAGGATCCACGGAAATCCCAAATCTTTCTAAATGGGGGACAATGGAAGTACCTAACATTCCTTAATCTGGTAAGTACGCATCAGGAAGCAAGCTATTTATCTCTAATATCGGTGCCTTTTATTTTATCCAGTACAAAATTCCATTATCTTTCTTCTTCCTAGTTTGTGAGTTTGGGCATTCTCTTTTACTTGGCAATTTGCTCTGAGAAACCCACTTTGGGAGTTATCCATAGCTACCTCTTGTGCTGGCTAATTGTGAAACGCTTTTTAAATTCTTTTTAAAAGAATCTTATCTCTTTTTTAAAAAAATTATTAAAAATTGTTATTTTTTTTAAAAAGTTTAACTGGAGGATAATTGTTTTACAATGTTGTGTTGGGTTCTGCCATACAACAGCTGAAATTAGATATCAGTCAGTGAGTCAGTTCAGTCGCTCAGGCATGTCCACTCTTTGTGACCCCATGGACTTCAGCACGCCAGGCCTTCCTGTCCATCACCAACTCCCGGAGCTTACTCAGACTTATGTCCATTGAGTCCGTGACGCTATCCAACCATCTCATCTTCTTTCATCCCCTTCTCCTCCTGCCTTCAATCTTTCAAATCATCAGGGTCTTTTCAAATGAGTCAGCTCTTCGCATCAGGTGGCCAAAATATTGGAGTTTCAGCTTCAACATCAGTCCTTCCAATGAATATTCAGGACTGATTTCCTTTAGGATGGACTGGTTGGATCTCCTTGCAGTCCAAGGGACTCTCAAGAGTCTTCTCCAACACCACAGTTCAAAAGCATCAATTCTTCGGCGCTCAGCTTTCTTCACAGTCTAACTCTCACATCCATATATGACCACTGGAAAAACCATAGCCTTGACTAGATGGACCTTTGTTGGCAAAGTGATGTCTCTGCTTTTTAATATGCTGTCTAGATTGGTCATAAACTTTTCTTCCAAGGAGTAAGCGTCTTTTTATTTCATGGCTGCAGTCACCATCTGCAGTGATTTTGGAGCCCCCAAAATAGTCTGTCATTGTTTCCTCTGTTTCTCCATCTATTTGCCATGAAGTGATGGGACCAGATGCCATGTCTCTGGAATCAGATATATGTATACCTATGTCCCCTCCCTCTTGAACCTGCCTCCCACTGCCCTCTGTATCACCCTTCCAGGTCATCACAGAGCTCCGGGCTGAGCTCCCTGTGTCATAGAGCAGCTTCCCACTAGCTACCTGTTTGACAACTGATAAGGTATATGTTTCAATGCTACTGTCTCAATTCGTCCCACCCACTCCTTTCCCCGCTGTGTCCACACGTCTTTGCCCCAATTTGATGTTTGTTTCTCCTCTGCTCAAGCTCCCTCATGAATATGCATATTCCCTTAGCATAAATCTTCCCCAATTTTGCTATTTGAGGAGACACTACTTGAGGAGAGATCCCCAGTGTTCTCCTTATTTGCTGCAGGTAATAAATCCTTCCTTCTCAGGGGAAAAATTTTAAAAAAAAGAATTTTATCTTGAAGTGCTTTCAGATGAGCCTAAACGAGTAACTGAAGTCATGGTTTCATGGTTTCATTGTGACATTGACAACATATGCAGAAGAGATTTTGAACTTTGCTTGGGGAAGTCTGTGAGGGAAGGCAGAGTGGCGTATGTTGCGTAGGAAGTGCAATTTCCAGTGGAGGATTAATGCCATTTTACAGCACAACCAGACTAACAGATTTATCTAAGAAAAGCAAATACATTTTGCCACGTTCAGATCCCACTTCAATTTTTTTATAGGCTCAGGCACCATCATAAAGGACAAATCACCCAACCAAATGGCAAATGCACATTTTCAACCATCCACAAACCAATCACATCGCTTGCTCCTTTCTTCTCTTCCTAGCCCAGCTGACCACAATGGGATGAATGAAATGATGAAGTATAAGTGAACGGGAGAAAAATAGATTTCTAAAAAACATTTGGGGAATATGTAAAATTATTTTTAGAGTTAAAAGCTAAGAATGCTGTATCCTTTGGGGATGCTAATTTAAGTTTTGAAATTTTTTAACCTAAATGTAGGGTGCAATATAAGTATCTGATTCCAATTCTTTGGTATCATAATCCAGGCAGAAGTAATGCATGGTAAGAAAAAAAAAAAATGACTCTCTGTAATGCTAAGGAGAGGAAATTCAGAAAGCTCAGTTCACAGAGACCTGGAATTTCAGGTCCCTCCTCACTGGTAATCTGACTTTGAGATCTGAAATTTGAGATTTGAGCTCTGTGTGCATGCTAAGTCAATTCAGTCAAGTCCAACTCTTTGCAAACCTATGGACTGTAGCCCACCAGGCTCCTCTGTCCATGGGACTCTCCAGGCAAGAGTACTGGAGTGGGTTGCCATGCCCCCATCCAGGGGATCTTCCCGACCCAGGGATCAAACCCTTGTCTCCTGCATTGCAGGAGGATTCTTTACCGCTGGTGCCACCTGGGAAGCCTGAGTAGAGCTCTACCGTGCTTGAAAAATGGCAAAGTGACTGCCTGTTTCCATCATAGAATTTTATGAAAACAAGTAAATAGAAAACAATAACAAGAAATGATTTTGTGGAATTAGAATAATACAGCAGAAGTCTCAGCCTTCTGTATCTATTTGCTTTATATTAAGAATGGTCAATGTAAAGGGAGCAGGGTCAGCCAGCACGGATGATCTAATCAAGTCTAAATTCCAGTTTGGCTGTCCCATCTCACTCTCTGTTAAGTTCTGTCGCTCAGTCCTGTCCAACTCTTTGTGCCCCATGGACCGCAGCACGGCAGGCCTCCCTGTCCATCACCAACTCCCGGAGCTTACTCACACTCATGTCCATTGAGTCCGTGATGCCATCCAACCATCTCATCCTCCATCGTCCCCTTCTCCTCCTGCCTTCAGTGTTTCCCAGCATCAGGGTCTTTTCAAATGAGTCAGTTCTTCGCATCAGGTGGCCAAAGTATTGGAGTTTCAGCTTCAGCATCAGTCCTTCCAATGAACATTCAGGACTGATCTCCTTTAGGATGGACTGGTTGGATCTCCTTGCAGTCCAAGGGACTCTGAAGAGTCTTCTCCAACACCACAGTTCAAAAGCATCAATTCTTCGGCACCCAGCTTTCACTCTAAGTGTGGCTAAGAGCGGATTCATCACCTACTCCCTCAAACCAGCTTACTGACTTCTAGCTCAGTTACATGTCCAAGAGCCATCACATTTCTAAGAATGGAGAAAGACACTCATCTGTCGAAGACATATTTCCTAGTGCTAATTCCCTGAGTAACAAAAGGAAGACTTTTCTGCGTTCCTGAACAGTATAGTCTCTTTGGACATCTTTGGGCCCTTTGAAATGGGCAGAGAGGGGCTGACCTGTGGCTGTTTCCTTTTTATTAGGTGTCATCTTGAAAGTGTAACTTCATGAAGCATTTTCCAATTGATAAAGATGGGTTAAAAATGTTTTTAGAGGATTAATTTAAGGTCAGATTTTAAATATGTGACTTCATGTTTGAGCCACATATGAGTAATGAGCCACCAAATCCTATGTTGTGCCTCTTGCCAGGGTCTCCCCTTCTTCCCGAGTCGTGTCGCCCCTCTCACTGCTGCTGCTGCTAAGTCGCCTCAGTCGTGTCCGACTCTGTGCGACCCCATAGACGGCAGCCCACCATGCTCCCCCGTCCCTGGGATTCTCCAGGCAAGAACACTGGAGCGGGTTGCCATGTCCTTCTCCAATGCATGCAAGTGAAAAGTGAAAGTGAAGGCGCTCAGTCGTGTCCAACTCTTCATGACCCCATGGACTGCAGCCCACCAGGCTCCTCCGTCCATGAGATTTTCCAGGCGAGAGTCCTGGAGTGGGGTGCCATTGCCTTCTCTGCCCTCTCACTGTAGGCGCTTATTAATTGGTGACCAGATCATCTCTTCACTGTCCTCTCACTATCAGTCCAACCATCCATCACTCAGATTTCAGATTAATCTTCCCGACAAATGGTTTTGGTTTTATTTTGTTTCCAACATCGTGAGCCTGATTGAGAAGTGTGGTCAGCTATTCAAGAAACTAGAGTGGCTCCCTCCCACCTCACAGGATCAATCAAAAGTCCTGATCTAGGAGCTCACCTGCCTACTTCGCTCTCTTTCTGGCGCTCCCCTCCCTAGTAAGGCTGGTCCATTCTCCAGGAAGCCCTGTGTCTTCTCCAGTGTTGGTCCCCAGGCTTTCTGCAGTCACTGCTCTATCCACAGTCACGCCATACTTGAACGAAAGGCCCACCTGCTTCTCCACCACGTTGCTGCTTTCCCAGACCACCTGAAATCTCAGATCCTCCTTAAAAATCTCTGCTGAGTCACTTTGTTTTTTCCAGATTTGTTTTTTCCTTTCCCTGAGTTTTTCCAGCATCTGTTAGTCTCTGCTTATTTATGTATTGTTTGCACGTCTCCACCCACATGTGATTCTTAACATTTCAATCAATTTGTAAATAGCTCTAGAGCAGGCGTTTGATCTCTGAAGTCTTCACCAGCCCTAACATTGTATGATTCTACATCGTATTTGCTATAGTGATGGGCACGGATTATCCCCGTTATAAAAACGCGGTGCGTTTGTATATTGACTGGACTTGACCTCAGACTTTTCTGCATTCCTGAGCAGTACAGACTCTTCAGACACCTTCAGGCCCTTCAAATGGGCAGAGAGGGGCTGACCTGTGGCTGTTTCATTTTTGTTAGGTGTCATCTTAAAAGTGTGACTTAGTGAAGCATTTTCCAATTGATAAAGAGGGGTTGAATATGTTTTAGAGGATTAATTTAAGGCCAGACTTCAAGTATGTGACTTCACGTGAAATACTGGGCCTTAAAATTTCTAGTTCTTGAGGCCTTAAAGGATTGTGTTTCCTAACGATTAGTGTTAGCAAATGACTAATTAACTAATGGTTGCATTTATAAAGTCACGGAGGTCTCATAACTTACTATAACACTCTTGAATCTATTTTACGTAAATTTACTGAAGTCAGTACCCCATCCTGCTTCCAGGAAATTTACACCCTTCCACTTTAAATGAGGCTTCCCAGGTGGCTTATTAGTGGAAAAGAACTGCCTGCCAATTC